TTATTATTAAATATTAATATTAATATTTAAAATTAATATATACTATTCTCTTATTTATTTTCATAATCACCAAATTAAAGTTCTATTGCTAATGAATCTCTATTTATTATTAGCTAGTTATTTATGTTATCTATCTTACCTTACGTTATTTACATCAAAAAAAAAAAAAAAAATCTTACCTTACGTTAATTATACCTTAGCTAGTGTATTTCGCAATTTTGTAACATACCAATAACTGGGGGTTTGGGGGTTTGTAATTGTTTGCCCTGGTTTCTTTACTAGAGGCACCTTGTACAAATTATGGCATTTTGAATCTGAAGATAAGCTGCTCAGGAAAATAAAAAGGCATACGTTCGCAACCAGGGCCCCTGCATTATTATTGCTTGCAATAATTCACCACCTCCCATGGAGTATGGTCGCTTTTCCTTTTTGGTTTTCTTTCTTCCGAAAAGAAATTGCCTTTAACTTTTGGAAACTAAAGTGCCATTTGTCAAGTTTGTCTCTCTGAAAATGAAAAACAAAGGCGCAATTCGCGTAGAAAACCATAAAAGTTAATTTTAGTTCTATTTAATATAGTTATAATGGTGAGTTTTAGTTTTAATTTTAAAAAATTTTAAAATTTTAAAATAAAATTAAATAATTTTATAAATTAATTAAGTTTTAAATTTTGAGTATTTTGTTTTAAAATTTCATACATAACAAATTTGTAATTTTAATTTTTAAGTGTTAATTTTAATTATTTTAATTTTTAAAATCAAAACCAAAAATTTAAAACCATAATCATACTAAATAGAACCTTTGTTTTGAATAATAATAATATACGTTTGATTTTAATTTAGTAGTCATTAAAATTAAAATCAATTTTTATTTGTTAATAATTACTCTATTAATCAGTACAATTTTAATAGGTTTATTTTTTGTCTAATAAAATTAGATGTAATAATTTATTAATAAAAATTTATATTTATTTATCATTAATTAATATTTAAATAAAAATTTTATTTAATATGAAATATATATTGTAATTATCTTTTTAAAATAATAATAAAATAAAAATAAGTGCATTAAATAATATATTAAAAATAAACAATTAAATTTAAACATTCCTCAATTAAAACTAAGTTTATTAAAACTATTCAAAAAAT